GACTTCTAAAAGAAAGTAGGGTTTCTTTGATAAATCATCAATTCCAGGTCCGGGGCATGAAATATATAAAATTATCCTGGAATATTTTTATGCCATCAACAGCTACTTACTAGGGGTAATGATAAAAGGATTCAGCAGGTGGCCTCACTGGTGTGGCTCAATTGGTTTAGTGTCATCCCATGCACCAGCAGGCTACTGGTCGATTCCCTGTCAAGGGCAAATGCCTGATTTCAGGCTCAATCCCTGGTCGGGGTATATAGGAGGCAGTCCATCGATGTTATATTCTCTCATCCATGTTGCACTCTCACATCCATGTTTCTCTATCTCCTCCCTTCTTCTCTCTCTAAAAATAGTAATAAAAAAAATAATAATAATAAGCCCAATTACAAAAAAAGGGCAGCCAAGTTGAAGATGCTCTCGGGTGACCACCTCCTGCAGTTTTAGAACTGAAAGTTTAGGAAACCTCTAAGCCTCCCACAGATCTGTACATTTGATCACCTTCAGAGGTTCCCATTGGCCAAAAGTGGGACAGTGTGAGCACCTATAAGGATAAGAACTACAGTGGATTGGCATCCTTTATTATGCTTAAATGTATGAGTTCATAATGATAGCCCAAACAAAACCAACTAATTGTTTATCTTTGGTGATATTAGGAAAGTAGTTTTTAATTTTGGAAACTGTTAAACCATGCCACAAAATGAAGTATTCATTCTTTTTTATATGAACAGTACCACTGGCTAAACAAATAGTAGATGGGGTAAAGTTGTTTTTTTATAGAGAAATTTTATATGCTAGCAAATAAAGACAAAATGATGGAATTGGAGTATTACCATTTTTGCATTCACCATTTCATTGGATTTTAATTCTCAGTTTCAGTGGCTGCTAACAGCAATAAACGAGAGAAAATCATGCATGTATTATAAGTACTCTACCACCTAATGAGTGATCTTGCCAAAAATATTAATCTTGAATCTGATGAAACTGCCTCCATCCCCCTACTAATGTATAGCAAGTATAGAAGACAGTGGAACATGTTAAACTATGCTGTGGGGATGCAATCAAGAAAATTCGGTCAGTGGGAAACTGTATAGAACAGATGACCCAATCTATTTAACAGATTGTAAAGAAAAAAAAGAGGTGGCCAGGAAGTCTATATACATTTGAAAGGGCAAAATTAACCTGTGGCATTTATGTATATCCATTTCAGTAATAAAACCATAAATAAAAGTAAGGAAGTAATTACCACAAAAGCCATAGTTGTTTCTTTTGGATGGGATGAAGAGTAGAGGGTGATGGATGAGGATTTTGTATTGGCAGAGGGTTACCTGGAGGGCTTCTGTAGTGGCTGACATGGTTATTTCTCCTGATCTGTGTGGTGGTTCCAAGTTCATTTAGCTATAATTTCTGTATGTGGTTTTCTATGTAGTATTTATATCTACCTATCTATCTATAGATTTTAAACACTTTATTTTTTATTTTAGACAAATTTTAGGTGCCAAACAAACTTTAGAGGAAAAATACAGAGAATTTCCATATATCCCCTATGCCCACATATACATAGCCTCCCCCATAATCAGCATCCGCCAGTAGAGTGGTACCTTTGTTACAAGTGATGAATTACTTGAAGTCCATAGTTTACATTAGAGTTCACTCTTGATGTACATTCAGTGGGTTCGGACAAATGTATAATGACATGTATCCATCATTATAGTGTAATACAGAATATTTTCAGTGCCCTAAAAATCTAGTCTCTGCTTATTCATCTTCCAACCCCTGGCAACCACTGATCTTTTACTGCTTCCATAGTTTTGGCTTTTCTAGAATGTCATAAGTTGGAATCATGTAGTATGTAGCCTTTTCAGATTGGTTTCTTTCACTTGGTAATATGCATTTAAGTTTCGTCTATGTCTTTTCATAGCTTGATAAATCACTTATTTTTAGTGCTGAATAATATGTTTGTATTATATTTGATAACAAAAGTCTAAAGTAAAAAATATAGAAGGAAAAGAAATTGGAGTGGAGGAAGCTATATTAGGAAATTGTGAGAGTTGATGCCTTATAGAGTATCTAAGATTTCTTGACTAAGGATTTTATTAAATGCTGCCCTGGCCGGTTTGGCTCAGCGGTTAGAGCGTCGGCCTGCGGTCCAGAGAGACCTGGGTTCAGTTCCTGCTAAGGGCATGTACTTCGGTTGCAGTTTGTCCCCGGCCCTGGTTGGTCATGCGGGTGGCAGCCACTCGATGTGTCCCTTCACATCGATGTTTCTGTCTCTCTCTCCCTTCCTCTCTCTCCCTCCCACTGTATCTGTACAAAAAATGGAAAAATATCCTCGGGTGAGGATAAAAATAATAATAATAAAAAAAAATGCTATTCTGAGAATATTCAACATAATAAACCAGTGAAGTTTATTAAAAATAGTGCTGGAGTGCTGAAAACTGTTTCTAAAACCATAAATCTGGCAGGATGGATTTTAGTAAGAGCTCGGGAAGCTAGCCAGGAGACCACAGTATTAAGGTGAAGGTGATAAAGATTTGGATTAGGGTGATGTTATAGGAATAGAGGTAAAATAATTGTTGTGTTATGCAGCAGAAAAAGTCAATAAGAATTGGTGACAGATTAAGTATGGTTAAAAGTAAAAGCATTAGAAATAAACTCAAAGGTTTTATGTTTGAGGTTATATCCTTTATTGGGTAGATACTAGGGAATTCTGGCAGGACAGTCCTGATTAGATTAAAATAAGACCTGTTTTTCTTCTTATGGTGTATTTAGAATCCCAGGGGAATGATTGCTAGGGATTCTGCTTTCCTAATGGTCCAAAAATTCAATCTGAAAAGCAAGAAACTGATAATAGTGGTTGCTTTGGGGAAGTTCATATTTGGGACATAGATATATGAGGATGATTTTATCCTTGTTGTTGTTAATCCTCGCCTGTGGATATTTCCATTGTTTTTAGAGAGAGTGGGGGATGGTGGGGGGAGAGAGAGAGGAACATCGATATGAGAGAAACACATTAATTGGTTGTCTCCTGCACCTGCCTCTACTGGGGCTGGGGATCCAACCTGCAACCCAGGTACATGCCATTGACCAGAAATGGAACCTGAGACCCTTTGGTATGTGGGCCAATGCTCTAACTGCTGAGCCACACCAGCCACGGGCAGCTTTTTTATCTTTTGAATTTTGAATTGTGTGCTTATATTACCTATTCATAAAATAAATAAAATGTAGTAATTAAAAGATCAAGATGCCCAAATCTTCCACTTTCCAGGGGGAAATATTATTTGTCATTGGCTTTCATTATTTTAAGTACTTTAGACTAGTTACTCATAAAAGCACTTAGGTACACATGTCCAGTACATAGTTGCCTTTGGCTTATATATGTTTGTAAACATAAATTTTATTTTATGTTTATGTTTGTATATGTTGTGTTTTTGTGCATGTTGTGAGTACATGCATGGGGCTGTGTGTCTCTGGTGTGTGTGTTCCACTCAGAAAGAAAAAGCTGGAGTCTCAAGGACTCTGTCTTCTGAGTGCTTTTAATTTTTATTGCCGCCAGTTAGGATTTTCCTCTTTAGATGGGCAGTGTTGTTCTTTTCAACCAGCCTCAGGGCCATTCATAGATGGTGGTGATGCTGCAGCAGCATAGACCATCTCTCTTTTCTTTATTATCACTGCTGAAGCTGAAGGTTATTACATATATGTTGTTCCATCAGTCTCCCTTCTCCTCACTCTCCTCCAGGCAGTTGTCGTGGATTCTGCTTCTGTAATAAAGTGCCTTGAAATACATCGGTCTTTATTTCATATCTTAGTCTTTGGGTAGGCGGAGAACCAGTATTAGATCTGATAATGAAAAGGTAATAGGAGGTGACATACATGGTACTATTTTTAAAATAACTTTTCTTGGATAATTATTAGTGATTTAAAAATTATGAAAATTCAAGAAGGGCATGCTTATTCTTTAAGTTCTAGTAAAATTGAATTTTAAGTCTGTTCCATTAGGGACCCAGAAAAGAGAAACCAGGATTGGAAATAATAGGAGACCATAGTAGGAAGCTGAGCAGTGCTAACACAGTGGTTGTCAGTTTTGGCTGCACATTGACACCACTTGAGGATATTTAAAAAAATACTGATGCCTAGTTCCCACTGCTAGAGGTTCTGATTTAATTGGTCAGGGCTATGGCCTGAGCATTTGAATTTTTTTTTTTGTAATCCTCACCCAAGGATATTTTTATTTTTACATTTATCTTCAGACATAGTGGTAGGGAGAGAGAAAGAGAGAGAGAGACAAAGAAACATCAATGTGAGAGAGGCACATCGACTGGTTGCCACCTGTATGACCCCAACAAGGATTGGGGACAAACCACAACTGAGGTATGTGCCCTTGGCCAGAATTGAACCAGGGACTCCTTAGTCCATAGGTTGATGCTCTAACCGCTGAGCCAAACTGACCAGGGCAGCATTTGAACTTTTTGAATCTACCCACTTGAATTTAGAATGAAGTCAAGACTGACAACCACTAGCTTAGAGAAGAAAACTTGTGTAGGACTGAAGAGAAAAATCCCTGAGTTTCATAGCACCTCAATCCTAAATTCTTTCCTTTTGGGATAAATTGGAGTTTATTTTAAAATGAAACGTTTTTCTATTTGGTTAATCTTTACCTGAGGATATTTATTCATTGATTATTTAGATAGAGTGGAAGATAGGGAGGAAGGGAGGAAGAGAAGCATCCATTGGCCCATGGATCGATTGGTTGTCTCCTGCATGACTGTGACCAGGGAGAGGATTGAACTTGCAATCCAGGTATGTGCTCTTGACTGGGAATCAAACCCACAACCCTTCAGTCTGAGGGCCAATGTTCTAAGTGCTGAGCCAGGGCTTAAAGTGAAACTTTTTAAGACTTGTGATTATTTAGGTTAATGAGTGGTGGAAACAAAAAAGACGAATCTGTAGCATCTGGAAAGAATGGACACATTTACTTATTTAACATTGTGGTATTTGTACAGGTTGCCTGTGATTTGCTTCGGAGAATAATTCGCATCTTACATCTCAGTAAGAGACTCCAAGGACAGCTGCAAGGGGGAAGTAGAGAGATAACGAAAGCTGCCCAGAGTCTCAATGAACTTGGTAAGTCCTTTTGATTACAAAGTTAGTAGAGTTTTAAAGGTTTTTTTCAGTCACTTGATTTGTTGACTTTGTTACATTAAATTGAGCAAACTTATTTAATAATTGGCTGTTTATAACACTGTCACACTTTTTAAAATTGGTAAGTAAAATTATTTGACTTCTTAGAAATGCCATTTATTTTGCTCAGTGGTTAGAACATTGGCCCATGGACCAAATGGTTTCGGGTTTAATTCCCAGTCAAGGGCACGTACCTGGGTTGCAGGTTCCATTCTGGCCCCGGTCGGGGTCATGTGGGGGACAATCGGTATGTCTTTCTTACATTGATGTTTCTCTTCCCTCCCTCCCTTCCACTTTCTGTAAAAAAAAAAAAAATCAATGGAAAGATATCCTCTGGTGAGGATTAATACCCCCCCACAGAGTATCATATAGTATAATTAGCCTTTTTAAAATACAGACCTGTGAATTTTAATATATGTATAAATTCATGTAACCTTCAGCACAGTCATGATACACAGTAGCTCCATCACCCTCCAAATTCCCTCATGATTTCCCTTTACATTAATGCTTACCCAACCCCCACCACTTACAACTAACCCTGGCAACCACCCATTAGTTCTACATCACTGTAGTTTTGTCTTTTGGAGAATATCACATAAATGGAATTAAGTGGCTGACTTCTTGTACTCTTTATAATACCTTTGATAATTATCCAAGTTTTTGTATATACCATAGTTTGTTACTTTGTGTTTGTTGGAATACTATTGTATGGTTGTACCATTGTTTGTCTATTGATTCATTGGTTGAAGGAAATTGTATTGTTTTCAGTTTTTGGTGATTATGAATATACATTCATATACAGGTTTTTATGTGAACTTAAGTTTTCATTTCTCTAGGAGAAATATCTAGGAGAAATGTTTTTTAGGTGATAAAACCCATGTCGACATTATGCCTAGAAGATTTATTGAATTCATTTCTTCATTTGTTTCTTATATTCTCAAACATTTAGAGTAGTCTCTTGACATTCAAGGGTTTAACACCCATGGTTTTAACTATTTACAAGCTACAAAATCTGAGATGAAGCAGTTCATAATTTTGCAGGTAAAACTTTTTATAGCTACTGAGTATGTATACACCTGCATTTTAATGGAATTTGTGTATTTTAAAATTTTTATTTTTTTATAAGTATGTTTTTATTGATTTTTTACAGAGAAAGGAAGGGGAACAGAGATACAAACATCAATGTGAGAGAGAAACATTGTTGGCTGCCTCCTGCACAACCCCAACTAGGGATTGAGCCCACAACCTGGGCATGTGCCCTGACGTGGAATCAAACCGGGACCTCTTAGTCCATGGGATGACGCTCAGTCCACTGAGCCACACTGACTGGGCCAGGATTTGTGTTTTTTTCCCCCCCAATAGATACACAGTAATTTATCTGAAGTGGATGTGTTTAGTAGTATTTGTACCTTCGTAGGTTCAAAAGATCTTTGATTATATTTGTCTTAAATATCAAAATGCTACTTAGTCTTGGTGGTATGCTTTAAAAGTAGTTATGGCTAAGTAATATTAGAAAGATGTGTTTACATGTTTTTTTGAAATTTTCTGTCTTTGATATTTCAGTTATATAGTCATGCTGTAATAATTATTTCATATTTTTTACTAAGGGAATGTAATATCCTTCACAAATTATGCTTCAACACATATCAATTTAAATACATTGCTTAGGCGTGTCATTGGGAATATATCTGACTTGTGATTTGTAATGCTGGGAAAATATCATATAAAAAGTTAAGTTTTTAGCAGTGATTAATGATTGCTTTTTTTTCAGAATGTGTGCTAAATTAGAAGTGTAAAAATTCTAGTATCAGCAGTTATTTTTTGCGTTATCAAATTTATTATCTGTGCTTTGAAAATAATCTGTAGGATAATAGAATCAGTAAAAAAAGATACAAGTTATTCCAAGGTTTATTATATATATATTTGTTATTACTAATAGTCTTTCATAATAAAACATTGCTAGATTTTGATTATGATTATCATCTCTTTTAGAAACAATAGATGCTATAATGCAAATGGTGATGTCTTTTTTTGTTGTTGTTAATCCTCACCAGAGGATATTTTTTTCATTGATTTTTAGAGATAGTGGGAGGGAGGGAGGAAGGAGCAGAGAGAGAAAGAGAGAGAGAGAGAGACATTGCTATGAGAGAGGCACATTGATTGGTTGCTTCCTGCACATGCCACGACTGGAACCAGGTACATGCCCTTGACCAGGAATTGAACCTGTAACCCTTTGTTGTGTGGGCCAATGATCTAACCACTGAACCACACCAGCCAGGGTGATGTTTTTTGTATTTTTTTTAAATTTATTTTTCATTATTAAAAAAACCCAAATATCAGTTATAATGCTTTGAGTTGGTACAGTGTGGAGTGTAGGTAAACCTGTTATCCTTCCAATGACATGTTAGCTTTACCCAAAGTTTTATAAATATTATGATGACGAGAGGCTGTTGAGAAAGTATAATTTGTGGTGAGTTTATCTCAAAATGGATTGAATTAATTTAAATTTTTAAAACTTTGCAATTTATGTGCTATTCACAGTTTATAAAAGTACCATCTCTTTATTCACCGCTGTGGTTCAGTCTTGGCTAGCACTAGCATTGATAATGAGAAGCCAAGAGGGAAATGAATTTTCTACATTTAGAATTAATATTTTAAGAGAAAGAATAATTTGATAATCACTATTACAATTATACATGTATCTAAATGATTTTGTTGTTGTTAATCCTCACCTTGAGGATATTTTTCCATTTATTTTTTAGATAGGGTGGAAGGGAGGGAGGGAGAGAGAGAGATAGAGAGAAATATCAATGTAAGGGAGACACATTGATAGATTTTCTCCCTCATGACACTGACCAGGGCTAGGGAACAAACCTGCAGCCCAGGTAGATGCCCTTGACTGTAATTGAACCTGTGACCCTTCAGTCCCTGGGCTAACGCTGTAACCGACCAGGGCTAAATGATATTTTTATGATCAGAATGTCTCTGAAATTATCAGTATTTATGTCAACATGGGTCTGATTTGATTAGATAGAAGAAAATTATGAAGAGTACCAGTATTTACTCCATAAGCCCTTGAAATGAACTTAAAAACAATCTCTTAAGCTTGAAGGTCTTGAGGCTTGAATTGCAGTGATCAGATAAAATAATTGTCATCTAGAAATTTTTTTTTATCATCTAGAAAATGTTCTGAAATTAAATAGTAGTGATTGTTAAACAACCTTGTTTATATACAAAAAGCCGGTGAATTTATACTTTAAAATGTTGAATTATTGGTATGTGAATTATATATCAATTTAAAAAGTATATTCTGGTATATAGTGAACATAATCTTACACTGGTACCTTTATTATTATTACTATTAAATTGAGGTCTAAGTAACATATAATAAACTGCCCATATTGAAAATGTATGATTTGGTTAGTTTTGACATGAAACATTGACAGTATCAAGATAGTGAACATAATGTCATTCCCAAAAGTTTCCTCATGCCCTTTGGTTGGTAATATCTCCTCAGGCATTATTGATCTGCTTTTTGCCACTAAAGGTTAGATGGCACTTTAAATAATTTTATATAATTGGAATCATAGTTTGTATGGTTTTTGTTTGGCTCCTTTTAGTCAGCTAAATATTTTGAGATTCATTCATGTTATATGCATCATCAATAGCTCATTCCTTTTTATTGCGAATAATATTCCATTGTATGGATATCCCATAATTGATCAGTTCACCTGTTGATGAACATTTGGGTTGTTCCTAATTTTTGCATATTACAAATCAAGCTGTTAATGAACATTCATGTACAAGTCTTTGTATGGACAAATGCTTTTATTTCTCTTTGATAAATATGTAGGAGTGTAATGGCTAGATCATATGGTAGATGTATGTTTAACTTTTTGAGAAGTTGCCAAGGTGTTTTTCACAGTACTTATAACATTTACGTTCCTAGCAGTAGTGTATGAAAATTACAATTCCTGGCCTGGCCGGTTTGGCTCAGTGGTTGGAGCATCGGCCTGCGGACCAGAGAGTCTCGGGTTTGGTTCCCACTAGGGGCATGTACAAAAAAAAAAGAAAAGAAAATTACACTTTCTTCACATTTTTGTCAACAGTTGTTATAGTCAGTCTTCTTAATTTTAGCCATTCTAAAAGGTGTGTAGTGGGCCCTGGCCAGTTTGGCTCAGTGGTTGGAGTGTTGGCCTGTGGACCAGAGAGTTCCGGGTTCGGTTCCCGCTAGGGGCATATACCAAAAAAAAATTAAATAAAAAAATAAAAGGTGTGTAGTGGTATCTTGTTTTGAGTTTACAAGAAAAGTTACTAGAACTAATGAAGGATTTTAGCAGGATTTCAGAATATAAGATTAATATATAAAATCAGTTTTATTTCCATATACTCTGGTATTAACAAGCAAATGAATAGTCAAATTCAAAAATATCACTGGTAATACCATAAAAAATATGAAATACTTAGGGTAGAAGTTGACAAAAGATACACAAGACTTGTACACTGAAAACTAGAAAACATTGTGAAAAAAAATGTAAGAAAACCTAAATAAATAAATACTGTTTGTGAATTGGAAGACATTGTTTATTAATATGCTAATTCTCTTTAAATTGTTCTGTGCAGATTTAACACAATTACATTCTGAATTCCAGCAAGCTTTTATTTAAAAATTTACAGTATGATTTTTAAAATCATGTGGAAATACAAAGGATCTAGAATAGCCAAAACTTTGAAAAGGAAACAAAGTTGAAGAATTAACTCTACCTGATTTGAAGACTTTTTACCAAGACTTACAGTAATTAAGACAAAAAGGTAGACATACCACTAGAACAGATCACAGCCAAGAAACAGACCCAGACATATATGAAAAACTGACTTTTGACATATTTAGTGGTACAGATGGTACTGAAACAATCATATATCCGTAAGCAAAATAGTGAACT